TATTAAATATACACAACCGCAGCGGTTCGCATGAATGGGGTGCGATTGTGATGCGATGCGGAATTCGCACAGAAACCAGTGCGAATTCCACACCACATCAGTGTGAGCCCAGAGTAAGGGCCGGTTCACACTATAGAAACGCAGGCCAGATGCCTTTTTTACATGTGCATTTTTGATACGTTTTTGGCACGTCCCGGTGCGTTTTTGACACGTTCCAGAGCGGTTTTTTTGTTTTGTTTTATGCATTCCAGTTCATTTTTCTCCTCTTTCTTCAATTTAAATAGAGGGACATGTGCGTTTTTGATGCATGTTCCAGTACGGTTCTGTTCGGGAAAAATGAAGCCTGTTCTGCTTTCTTTTCTGCAATCGGAACGCACTGGAACTACAAGCACTGATGTGAACTATGATATTGAACCTACTTTCTGTGCGTTTTTGGATGCAGAAAAAACGCAACTGAAACGCATGTCGTGTGAATTGACCCTAAAGGCCACATTGTTCTGCATACTGGGGGGTTTTAAAGTTAATTAATTTTTTTAAATAAAATACCCTGTTTTTTTGAGGAATGCTTCAATCCAGCAATCCCTCCTGGTAACTTGTCTGACATACGTTGACATTCATGCACACAGGACATTTAAAAAAAAAACTGTCCTTGAAGCCTTTCTTCTTGCAGCAGCAGAAAAAAACCCCCGAAGCTTGTTAGTCTAGGTTCACACCTATGCAGTTTGCATTTGATCCGTTTCTGCAGTGCGTTTTTTGACGTTTTTGCACATGCATTTTGCTTTTTTTTTTTTTTTTTTTGCTAGGCAGATTAAAATGCAAAATGCAGAAAAAAACACACTTCATGCTTTTCTGCAGCATCTCCATGGAAGTCTATAGAACCAAAAACGCAATGTTTTGCATTTAAAAAAAGTTCCTGACCCTTTCCAAAAAACGCACCGGGTGTGAACACACGGAGATGTGAACCTGTCCCATAGGAAATCATGTTAAATGGACTCCTGTGCGTTTCCGCAAAACGCTGCGCAAGGTGTGAACCAGGGGCGGACTGACCATTTGGAAACTCGGACACTGCCCGAGGGCCCGGGGTCAGTAGGGGGCCCCATGAGATGCCCCTGGTACCTTTTTCATAGGCTTTTTTGAGTTTGGGCAAGGACACAGGGGCCCCATCATCCCCTATTGCCCAGGGGCCCCATGAGATGCCCCTGGTACCTTTTTCATAGGCTTTTTTGAGTTTGGGCAAGGACACAGGGGCCCCATGATCCCCTATTGCCCGGGGGCCCCATGAGTTGTCAGTCTGCCCCTGGTGTGAACCTAGACTTAGGCCTCATGCACACAGGGCATTAAAAAAAATAAATAAACAACCTCTCCTAGAAGCCTTCTGCAGGCCATAGACGGGTTGAAAACCGTCCTTTAAAAAAAAAAAAAAAAAAAAAACGAAAAAATCGGTTGTTCGATCGGCCAACGTTACCACCAACGGTATTTTCATCCCATCTACGGCCGGCATTTAACCCCATAATTACTTCTGTCTCTGCAGAGAGCTCCACTATTATATTTGACATGAAAAAGTACTGTGGTTGCAACAATGTATCCATTTGTATCCATTTCAGATACAGATGTTTTTATTTGAATACAAATAGATACATTGTTGCCACTGCAATACTTTTCATATAAAATATAATAGCGGACTGGAATTCTTCCTCTTCTTCTTTTTCTTCTTGCAGGTCACGGCTCATGTGCAGATTTTTTATTGGTAAAACAATCGGCCGATATGCCCATCATTGCAGGGAAAATCGGCCGATTATCAAAATCGGACGCAAATTTTCCAACTTTACCGATTAAAAACAAATGTGCCAAAACCCTGAAAAACGGCCGACCAATTAACCCACTAACGGTGTGAAAATCTGCCGATTTTTTTTGCCTGAAAAATTGGCCGATTTTCAACCTGTCCATGGCCGGCATTCCTCCTTGCAGCAGTGTTTTTGTAGAAAAAGCCGCTAACGCTTGTAAACGTATCTAGTGCTTTTACAGGCGTTTAGGTGTGTTGACAAGCATCAGTCGCTTGGCTGTGAATTTAATTGGCCGGGATCATTTATTCTGGTCTTTGAAATGAAGTAACATTCATGTTCTAATCACGCCTAGCATTAAAACACGTTTAGGTGCATTTACATGCATCAAGCATTTTCTGCCAAAACACTTCTGCTCCTTTCCTGCCTTTAACCTCCTTGGTGGTATTTCCTAGTGTAGCTCGGGGTAAAATTTAAGTACCACAAGCGGTAACCCCCGAGTTATACTCGGGCTTACCATGCGGCGCTGCATAGGGAGTCCCTGCAGAGCTTGCTTTGTCCTTCGCTCCGCGATGTGTCCCCTGCAGCGTCCCCGGCCATCTCCTCCGGCCGATGCCGGCATCCGGCTTCCGTGTTCCGGTCCCTGTGGGACGTATGGGCGCTGGAACCGGCGGCAAATTAGAAATTTTTAAAAAATGTCATTTTTTTAAAAAATGATTATTACATAGTATAACATTGCTGTTTCAATGCATTTCACATACATTGTGTCCCGAGTGCTTTGTCCGGCGCCCTGCCTGTATTATTACTGTTCTTTCTGCCTGGAAACTGAGAAACGTCCATGGCGTCCAAAAAGCGTCCCTTTATGTCAAAAGCGGTTTTAGATCAGCTAGAGAACAGCGATAGTAAATCAGAACCACTTGCAGAATTAAGTGATAATGATTCGTGGGGGAAATTCCTCATCAGACACTGAAAACGATTCTGCGACTTTGCTCAGCGATGTGCGAACTTGGCGCTATATTTCACATTTCAGTGTTTTTGGTTTGATTATATTATTGAATTAAATTTATTATTATATTATTATTTTTTATGATTATTTATTAAATTATAATTTAGGATTTCGTGTTTCAGATTTTATCATATCCGGGATGTTTACTAGACTCTTGTTCGGACAGATTTCAGTGAGTTATTCCTAAAAATTACAGCCTACAATAAAAAACTACATATTTCCATGCAAAAAAATGGTACCGCTTTCAGCACAAAAAAATCGGAAAGAATCATACCGCCAGGGAGGTTAAATGCTGCTGCCGCTAAAGGTTCCTCAAGGTCTGTGTACATGGACACATAGGCCGGCCATACATGGGTCGAAAATCGGACCTAAGAATAATCGGCTGATTCTCACTCTGTTAGTGGGTCAATGGCACCGGCTGATTTTCGTGGTTCCTCCCCTTTTTGGTGATCGGACATGTTGGAAAATTCGTGAAAAATGACCGATTTTCGACTCAATGATGGTCAAATCGTACGAAAGAATATGCGCATGAGCCATGACCTGGAAGGAACAGAAGTTTTGCCTGTTATATGGGGTGAACTTTATGACTCGGTCAGCTGATTTTTTAAATCCGTGATGGCACCATCGGATTACTGAGCAAACGTTTCCAATTTTCGGACGACAAATTGTTCAGAATTTGAACCATGTATGGCCTGCATTAGGATAACATGGAGGAGTGTTTTCAAGCAGTAAAAAAAAAAATGCCGGACGCACCTAAAAGTGGCTGCAAAAATGCCCTGTGTGCATACGGCCTCATGTTAGGTTCACACCTATGCAGTTTGCGTCTGATCTGTTTTGCAGTGCTATTTGCAAATGCGTTTTTGATGTGATTTTGCGGTTTTCTTTTTTTTTTTTCTTTTTTCAGCTTGTTGCTGGGCAGAATAAAACTCAAAAACGCACTTCATGCTTTTCTGCAGCATCTCCATTGAAGTCTATAGAACCAAAAACACAATGTTTTGCGTTTAAAAAAAATTTCCCTGACCCTTTCCAAAAAAATGTATTGGGTGAAAATGCGGAGATGTGAACTTGTCCCATAGGAAATCATGTTAAATGGACTGCTGTGCGTTTACGCAGAACGCATAGGTGTGAACCTAGACTTAGGCAGCCCAGTGCTGCTTAAAACTCAACTCCAGGAAAAGTAAAAACTCTCCTTAGCAGTGGGGCTGCAAGGGTTAAATGTTCGCTTAGGCCACGGGTGGGCAACTGTGGCCCTCCAGCTGTTGGTGAACTACAAGTCCCATCATGCCTCTGCCTTTGGGAGTCATGCTTGTAACTGTCAGTTTTGCAATGCCTCATGGGACTTGTAGTTCTACAACAGCTAGAGGGCCACAGTTGCCCACCCCTGGCTTAGATCCATGGCTCCCCGCAGACTCCTCTGTACTACTAGACCATTCCCTGCAGCTTCTTCTCCCCTGCACTCTGGTGGTCGGATGCCCTGTGACATCATCAAGACCAATGCAGGGCCTATAGCTCTGAACTGGATGCAAACATTTTGAGGAACAGTCCACCGCCGGAACGTAGGGGGAGTGCCACATTCTGGAGAAGATTGGAGAAGTAAAAACCTTTTTGCTTGCCGGACATAAACCAGCATTTAACTCTTGCAGTGCAGTAAGGGAGGGTTTTTAATCTCCCCAGAGTTGGCCATTAAAGCGGTCGTAAACCACCACAAAATGTAACAACAAATGTGGTCCCTGCAGGTTTAAAGTGTTACTAAACCCACAACATTAAAATCAGTCTGTATATGCAGCAAAGCATGCTTGTTATATTTACTGTGGAACCTAAGGGGTTCATCCTCTGCATTGTGTAAAAAGGCTGTTTGATCCTGTCTTCTCTGATCCTCCCCTTCTTCCAGTGCCCCCCTTTTATCTCCCGATAAGACATATCATGTGAAGACACTCTGAACATGCTCAGTTTGGTGTGTATTGCTAGAGAGGTGTTTTTTTTTTTCTTGGGAGAGTGCATGTGATCAGCACAGGGCCAATCAGCACTCTCCAGACTGAGGTCAGGGGTTCTGCATCCTCCTAGAACAGAATTAAAACTCTTCCTACAAGCTTTAAGCAGTGCTCTGCTGGACACAGAAGTCACAAGACTGCTATATACTGCTGATGAGAAAAGGTATTTAGCAGTTTATATTTACTAAAATAATTGCATTTTCATGTTCTGTGTACTGTGAGAGACCGGATATAGTGAATGCAGGGTCCAGGGAGAGCGGATATAGTGAATGCAGGGTCTGGGGAGAGCGGATATAGTGAATGCAGGGTCCAGGGAGAGCGGATATAGTGAATGCAGGGTCCTGGGAGACCAGATATAGTGAATGCAGGGTCCTGGGAGACCAGATATAGTGAATGCAGGGTCCTGGGAGACCAGATATAGTGAATGCAGGGTCTGGAAAGACCAGATATAGTGAATGCAGGGTCCGGGGAGACCAGATATAGTGAATGCAGGGTCCAGGGAGACCAGATATAGTGAATGCAGGGTCTGGGGAGACCAGATATAGTGAATGCAGGGTTCAGCGAGACCAGATATAGCGAATGCAGGGTCCGGGGAGACCAGATATAGTGAATGCAGGGTCCGGGGAGACCAGATATAGTGAATGCAGGGTCCGGGGAGACCAGATATAGTGAATGCAGGGTCCAGGGAGACCGGATATAGTGAATGCAGGGTCCGGGGAGACCAGATATAGTGAATGCAGGGTCCGGGGAGACCAGATATAGTGAATGCAGGGTCCGGGGGAGACCGGATATAGTGAATGCAGGGTCCAGGGAGAGCGGATATAGTGAATGCAGGGTCCGGGGAGACCAGATATAGTGAATGCAGGGTCCTGGGAGACCAGATATAGTGAATGCAGGTTCTGGGGAGACCAGATATAGTGAATGCGGGGTCCGGGGAGACCGGATATAGTGAATGCGGGGTCCGGAGAGACCAGATATAGTGAATGCGGGGTCCGGGGAGACCAGATATAGTGAATGCAGGGTCCGGGCAGACCGGATATAGTGAATGCAGGGTCCGGGCAGACCGGATATAGTGAATGCAGGGTCCGGGGAGACCGATATAGTGAATGCAGGGTCCGGGGAGACCGGATCTAGTGAATGCAGGGACCGGGGAGACCAGATCTAGTGAATGCAGGGACCGGGGGAGACCAGATCTAGTGAATGCAGGGACCGGGGAGACCAGATCTAGTGAATGCAGGGACCGGGGAGACCAGATCTAGTGAATGCAGGGTCCGGGAAGACCAGATATAGGAGGGAGAGTTCCCATAGAGCAGATGCTCTCATGAACATCGTTGGATCGGAGGGGACTCGGGTAAGAAGGATTGGGGGGGGGGGGGGGGGGGGGGTACTGGGGGTGCCTGTGGACATGAAAAGTTTCTTTTATCTTCATGCATAGAATGCATGCAGGTTAAAAAGTTCCGACTTTAATATCACTTCAACTTCCTGTACAAAGTGGAAGTGAGAGGAAATCCCTCCAAAGGGGTGTCACCGGGGCCAACATAATTAGTGTCCCTTTTTGAAGATTTCCCCTTTATTCCTGTTTCTGGGGTCAAACCAGAATTTGGGATTTTCATTTACTTTCTTATTAAATAACTTGGCAACTAAAACCTAAATATAACCCTTATAGAGAATACTCAACTTTAAACCCAAGAAAAAGTCACACTTTCACCTTTTGAAAGCAAATACCAATATTCAAAAACCTTTTTCTGCACCTTAACTCAATTGATAAATTAAACCATAAAATTAAATAAAGTCCCAAAAATGTAATTTTTCAAGTCCACCAAAATTTCTCAATCCTGTGTGTCCAACTTCAATATTTCCAGCATTCCGGACCCAGTGATTACCTCGAGAAAATAAAACTAAAATAGTGTATTACCTTTTCAAACCAAAATAAGTATATACAATATCTGCGCAAAAAATTAATTTTCATACCATAGATTCAACTGTGAGTAACACGTGAATCATGCAAAATCACTCTGTGTACACTAAAAATTTATATAAAGCGACAAATTGTGTACACAAAAAAAAAACATAAATAGATAAATAAAAAAAAAAATATATATATATATATATATATATAAATAAAATATAAATTAAAAAAAAGTAAATTTAAAACAAATAAAGTGAACACTCCGTGACCACCTCTAAATGGCAAGAATGCATACAATTACCATCATGGAGTAATATCAAGCCTTAAGGGATAATTATTATTATTATTATTATTACATCGAGTTTATATAGCGCCAAAGGGTTTGCTCAGCGCCGTACAATAGAGGGGGGGACAATACATGGCACAGTACAGCAACTACAAACAGCACACGAGGGGTTAGAGGGCCCTACTCCTTGGAGCTTACAATCTAGGAGGGAGGGGATAGTGGTACAGGAGGAAATGGCTGTGGGGGATGGAGTGGTAGGAGGAATGAAGGAGAACGGCTGTTAGGTGAGGGTGGGGTAGGCTTCCCTGAAGAGGTGGGTTTTCAGGGAGCGCCTGAAGGTGAGGAGGGAAGGTGACAGTCTGATGCGTTGGGGTAGTGAGTTCCAGAGGATGGGGGAGGACCTGGAGAAGTCTTGCAGTCGTGCGTGGGAGGAGGAGACCAGGGAGCAAGATAGAAGGAGGTCCTGTGAAGAGCGAAGGGTACTGGTAGTGTGGTACTTGGGAATCAGGTTGGTGAGGTAGTTAGGGGCAGTGTTGTGAATGGCTTTGTAGGTCAGAGTGAATAGTTTGAATTTGATGCGTTGGGCAATCGGGAGCCAGTGGAGGGAGAGGCAGAGGGGGGTGGCAGAGGGTGGAGCGGCTGGTGAGGTGGATGAGTCTAGCTGCTGAGTTCAGGATGGTCTGAAGCGGGGAGAGTTTGCACTGGGGCAGGCCGGTGAGGAGGGAGTTGCAGTAGTCGAGGCGTGAGATAATCAGGGAGTGTACGAGTAGTTTAGTGGTGTCTGGGGTGAGGAAGGAGCGTATCTTGGCGATGTTCCGGAGGTGTAGCCTGCATGTGTTTGTAAGTGATTTGACATGAGGTTGAAAGGAGAGGTTTGAGTCCAGAATGACGCCAAGGACTTTGGCTTGCTGGGCGGGATTGATGGTGGTGTTGTTGGTAGTGATGGATAGGATGGGGGTCAGATGTTATGACAGTCACTTCCAAGCTCTCAATAACTGTATGTAGGGTAAGCCTTCAATACACCATCATCCTCATAAACAACAGAAAAGACCCGTGCAGCATGATGTAATATGTATAAGAACATTTAATGCAGCATCTTACATTAGGGACTTTCAGTATTCAGTGATAGATTCCCATGATTCAGCCACAGCAACTTCTAGGGATCAAAAACCACATTTTTCCAGTCAACAAAATGGCCGCACCGCCACTTCCGGTTTTGCGCAATTACGTCATCCCTTCAGAAGAAGTCCGAAAGTGACGAAACGTGTCAGGGGACATGACGTCTGACGTAATTGCACAAAACCGGAAGTGGCGGTGTGGCAGGGAACAGTGGCTGATGGAACACAATAGCCGGAGGGGGATTTTCCTCCATCTCTGCTGCGTGGTGTGGATGGGAGATCCATTTATTTCCATTGTTTAAACATCTTAAAGCGGTTCTTCGTCTTTTTGAAAATAAATGTAATAAAAGAAATAATTTAAAGGAGAAGTACAGCCGAAGATCTGTTGGCTGTACTTCTCCCGTGGATCACAGGGGTGCAGTGTCGTTCTGCACTCCTGTGACCTGTTCTCTGCTGACAGTGGGCTGAAGTCCGCTGTTGGCCGATATCACTTGGCCGGTCCAGGCTGGGGAAAGATCCCGACTTCTGAGTCTGGAACGGCACCTGGTACAGCCTCTCAGCGAATTCGCTGCTCCCTCTCCCTCCACAGCCCAGTGCTCCAGTGAGCCCGGGGAGGGGGCAGTGCAGACAGCGGTGACTGACAGTGATTGCTCTCTGCTCAGAGCGGCTTCGAGAACTCAGCAAACTCTGTTGGAGTACAAGAGCTGCTTGTGTCCTAGCAACAGAGAATAGTAGACTGCAATGACCGCCTGCGTCCTAGCAATGGCGGCTGTTTGGTGGCATTAGCTGCCTTCATCCTGGCAACGGATGCTGTTTGGTGCCTCCTGTGTCCTAGCAGTGGAGGCTGTTTGGTGGCAATAGCTGCCTTCATCCTAGCAACGGATGCTGTTAGGTGCCTACTGCGTCCTGTGTCCTAGCAATAGAGGCTGTTTGGTGGCAATAGCTGCCTTCATCCTGGCAACGGATGCTGTTAGGTGCCTACTGCCTCCAGTGTCCTAGCAATGGATGCTGTTAGGTGCCTACTGCGTCCTGTGTCTTAGCAATGGCGGCTGTTTGGTGGCAATAGCTGCCTTCATCTTCGCAATGAATGCTGATAGGTGCCTACTGCCTCCTGTGTCCTAGCAATGGCGGCTGTTTGGTGGCAATAGTTGCCTTCATCTTCGCAACGGATGCTGTTAGGTGCCTATTTCCTCCTGTGTCCTAGCAATGGAGGCTATTTGGTGGCAATAGCTGCCTTCATCCTAGCAACGGATGCTGTTTAGGTGCCTACTGCCCACCTGTGCCAACTGTTTGGTGGCTGCCTTCATCTTCACAACGAATGTGTTAGGTGCCTATCAATGGCGGCTGTTTGGTGGCAATAGTTGCCTTCTGCCGGATGCTGTTCTATCTTCACAACTAGAATGCTGTTGGTGGCAAGGTGCCTACTGCCTGTTAGGTCTACTGCCACCTGTCCTAGCAATGGTGGCTGTTTGGTGGCAATAGTTGCCTTCATCTTCGCAACGAATGCTGTTAGGTGCCTACTGCCTCCTGTGACTTAGCAATGGAGGACATAAGGTGTCGGTAGTCGCCTGCGTCCTAGAAATGGAAGGGGGCTAGGTGGCAACAGCCATCTGAATCCTAGCAAATAACGTCATCTTTCATGGCCAAAAACAGTTAAGACACAGACCCATAGACGTCTACGGGGAGCTACTGTGCAGGTGCGGTTACTCACTGTAGATGCAAACAAACACCAGAAGATCAAGGTAAGTATGCGTCTGGGTGGGTTCGTTTCACTCAGGTGGGTGGGGGGGCTTAAAAATGGATAGGTTTACTTTGTCTTAAAATGCACTTATCTTTTTAAATTGCAGCATACAGGAAACGTTTCCTAGACAGCGGTAGCAATTTAATGGAATGGACTGATCTCTCTTGCTGCTTGGGCTTGTTAATGATAGGTTCCCTTAAACAGTCCCATGGCAGATACTCCTATTAGACTAATCTAGTTTCCAGGATGTCCTCACCTTGCCAGACTGGTGAGCCAAGAGAGAGGCCAGCCCCTGTGCAAAGCAGCCAAGTCTCCTCTCTGCTGTCCTGCTGTGCTGGAATAATGTCATGGTGTTGACAAGAGCCGCTGAGAGATTGTCGGCAAGGCTTGACTGATAGCTGGTTACTTGGCAGGCTCGGCTCGGTGTGTTTGTCAAACAAGTGTCCTGGCACAATGGCCAAGTCCACCGCTTTTGGGTCGAGGGTTACTGCTGGTGAGTAGAATTACCCTTTCTCTTTACTAGCGCACATTTACTCAGGTCTTTACTCAGTTATATGATAGATTTCCTCTGTGCGGATGTATTTAAGGGAGGAAACTATCAGATGACGGGATGGTTTGTGTCATGTTCTAGCTGCAGATGTTGCTAGGACTAATGCTAAAATGCCCTTAAACACGTGACTTTGTGTACTCAGAACACGGGTCAGAGAGGGGGTATTTCCACAATCTATGTTGTTTTTCTCGATACCCCTTGTAAACTGTCTTACATGGCAAAATGGGATAAGGACCTTTTGGTAGACCTAGATGTTGAACAATGGCATAAATGCTGTCAATTCTCCTGTCGGAGAATATTAAACGTCTCTTTAATTGAAGCTAATGTTAAAAGTCCTAACCAGGTGGTACTTGGTTCCTTCCCCACTGGAAAAACTGTACCCAAGCACTTCTCTGTTTTGCTTTTGAGGTTGTGCCATGAGGGGTCCCATGTACCATATATGGTGGGAATGTCTAAGACTTACGGGGTTCTGCAACAGGATCTTTGTCCTGCTTTGATGTTGTCAGAGGGCTCCAGATTCAGTGACAACTCCATAAAGCCTTAATAAGTGAACTGATTATAGATGTACCCCATAGTTTACAAACACTATCAATCCTCCTATCTGAGAATACTAAATACCTCTTTAATTGAAGCTAACCTTAAACTGCTGACCAGGTAGTACTTTGTTCCTTCCCCCTTGAAAAATTCTACCTGTACTTCTCTGTTGTGCTTTCAAGGTTGTGCCATGAGGGGTCCCATGTACCATATATG